GATAAAAATCGTGGAGGACCTGAGCGGGTGGAGGGGTTATTATAAAATTGAAAATGGTGCTGAAAGTGAATTATAATACACACAAAATAGGTGACATACTCTTAGAAGAGTATGGTGGGGGATTGACACCATACGCCGTCCATATACTAACGATGTAAGTGTGAAGGGATAAATTAAGGTTTGGTTGGTCGAAAGAGTGAACGAAATGGTGTGGGAAAATTAGGACAACTTGATGGAGAATAAAACTCGGAGACACAGGCCTAATTGGAATTGAAATTGGGTGCGATGAAAACCCATATTAGGAAGTTGCTTATCTTACACTAGAGCAAAATCGGTTCCGAGCTGGCCATAATTGTATGAAACTGATAAAGGCCTTTTTTTTTTTTTTTTTTCAACGTGAAAGAATAAATTTTTTTTATGTCTAAGGTATTTGTTTGCTTGATTAAGCTTAGTAACTATTTAAAGTTAATTCATTATTAAAACTTATTTTTATCATTTAAAAAGTCTTTTTCATTGAAAAAAGCTCCTTTTTTGGGGTAGGTTGGCAAGTATGATACATATATATGCGATACTTAATGATTAAGCCTTGCAATGTGATCCCCGGGCAGCGCAAAAATCTTTCCCTCTCAACTGCCGAGTTTCTTTAACAGTATCATGAATTTGTCAAGTTAGAAGAACCATCACTTCAGGAAAGATTTTGTAAAAGTATTCAACATCAAAGTGTAAAAAATAAAATCTAAAAAATCCTTTAAAATCTGAAGTTAAGATGCAGAAATTGTGGGCTTTTAAGTGCCAAAAGCCACTATCTTTAAATCGGCGATTTGGGCCTTTGTTCACTAAAAGTTCCGGATAGTATCATTGCAAAAGAGGTTCGGGGGGGAAAGAAATGTGCTAGATCTGTTATTTTGTCTTGGCACCTTTAACTTGTCACAGCATTGTAAAATGCTGAGGTTTGTACAGACTAGGAGAGACTCTAATCTGACAAACCAAAAGACAATATAGTATGTGAGGTTACAGGAAAATAAGGTCAGAATCAGTACCTACTTCTGCAGGATAGGGCAGCAAAAAGTGAAATATTTATCCAATTTATGAAGTGTTGAAAAACTAGCTTGTCAAACTCTTACAATATCTATGGATTCCTGCCGGAAATGGAAATTTTATGATGATGCAACAGGACTTGAAAAAGAATAAAATTCAAGCTTGACATAGGGACATATGGTTACACATTCGTTAACAAATTTCAAGCATAGATGTCATCCACTGGCTGGACAAATCCATCATTCTTATCCTCCTATATTGGAGGGATTAAGATTCCTGCAAGACATGAAGATTTTTAAATATATTGGCTTAAAAAAGCTACCTGTGAAGTTTGCTTTTACCGATGGGGCAAAAATGGCCCAGCAGTGAAAAGAGCCAGAAAATATGGAAGGACTCTGACATTAAAGAAGTTGAAATGGGGAAGTTTAAAAATCGTCAAATCCTTCTCAATTTGGAGGCAAATAAGAGAAAACATTTCTTAGAAAATTAAATTTTCTCTCCTCCTCCGTCGAAATAGAGTCCTTCCGGAATTATCAAAGTGATAAACCACTTTTCTTTAGCTGAAGATCTCTTAAAACTTGGAAATGGTGAAACGAGAAATTCAAAAATACTAAAGCAAGAAAATCTTTATAATTTAATGAATCCAATTGTTATAATGGGGAGGGGGGATCCGCGGAGCAGAATGAATGAAATGCCACAAGAAAGGACATTTACAGCTGAAAGTTTTGCAGTGAAACAAGGTCAAAGGGCAACAATAGAGTATCTAAAAGTCATAATGTCCAAATTATTCTCTTATTCGAAAATGCATCTGTATAGACCCGCGATTGAAGGAAAAACCCAGAACAAAATGAAAATAGTTCAACGGTTTGCAGAATAACAACAAGATGATTGAAATTCTGCTGCAGTTTGGAGAGAGTTCTAGACAAAGGTTAGAAGACAAATTACATGAATTTTCTACTTTTGATCATCAAATCTTCTCTTGACACATTCTCACCTCTCTTTTCATGATTTTCACATTCAAAATAAGAAAATAGTTAATGATTCTTATTTGTCACATGGACAGGCCTCTGTGGAAAGGAGCTTCTCTGTAAATAAAGCAATTGAAATTGAAAATTTAAGTGACCGTCATCATACTTTTCAATGCACAGTATTGATTACATAAATTTTCTGGAGTTGGTTTCTTAATATCGAATTAATAAAAAGAAATGAGATCAGCAGCAGCTTCTGCAAGGTCTAAATATATGCAGTATTTAGGAGAACAAAAATCTTTAACTAAATCTCAAAATTCAAAGAGGAAAAGAAATATCATTGAGGAAGAAATTGATTATATGAAGCAGAAGAAAAAATTCTTCAAAGGGACATTAAAGATATTAATGAAGAAGTAGATGCTTTAGCAGATGAAGCTGAGACCAGCATAACATTGATTTGTTTATCAAAGCAAATGAACTTAGAAGAATAGTTAAAGAAAAGGAAATAGACATCATAAATTAGATGTTAAAATAGCTGAAAAGATTTCAGATTTAAAAAAAAAGCATAAATTGTTTTGTATCTTTTATTGTACAGTTTATTATTCTAGTATCTGTTCAAAAAACCAAAGAAATAAATTGTATGTTTTACTGATCAATGTTATTTTAATCTGCAAAACATTCTTACATTGTGATTATAATAGTAGTTGACTGTGTTTGAATAAATATCAAATAAAGTTAAATAGTAATCATGTAAATCTCTAAAATAGTATGACTGTTATTAGTGTAAAATACACTTATACATGTTTTTCAAAGAAACTTATGTTCCTAATTTAATGTTATCTACCTGATAACTTGTAGGGAGTTAGTTTAATTTTCAAACTTGTTTTATGTTTTTGTAAGTATTAAAGTTGAATTTAATAATAGTGCATATACACACTTCTGATAGTTTCTTAAAGTGAAATTACAAGCATGAAGTCGGTTGTATGGATAATTGCTTTATTCTATTTGTTTTTTTGTTTGCTGATAGGTCCTTAATTTTTTCTTTGATGGTCCTTAAAAGTCCTTAATTTTCATGTAAGGAAATGTGTACGAACCCTGTAAAAAGTATTATATGAAATTAACCTTTCATCTAAATTAAAACATCAATCTTAGATAGTTATTTACTATTATACTTCCTTTCTTGCCGTAATTATTTTTGGCAGCATTGGCATCAACAATAGTTTGGCGATTTTTTACGGCCCTCGATACCGAATAGTACCAAAAAAGTTAATTGTTTTCCATGGTTGAGGTAATGCTCATTCTCTTAATAAATATTGCATTCCTCATATTTTAAATTACAAGTCTAATTTTTCTTTTAGGTTATGCAGTTGTATATAATGTAATTAGACAGGTTCTTATTTTTTCCTTAAAATGCAAAGTTCTTATAGGTGCTTATTTTTTTAACTAAAATATGGCTACGAACCCTGTCAAATTATAATAATACAGTCTAATACCAAAAATCCGCGTTGCTTCTCAAAATATAAACATTCAGTTTATAGGTTCCAGTAACCGCACTGTTGAGTACGAAATATCAAAGAAAAAAATACTTACCGAATAATGAGTCATAATGGAAATACCAAATTATTGACATCATGATAAAAATATTTTTCCCCTCGAATCTGCACAGTGAGATAAAAAAGCAGACGATTCACTCAACTCTTCTTTCAAGTTCACAATTCACGTTGTATTTCACATTTGCTGATTGTTTATTGCTGCCTTTTTTTTAATCCGGATGTTTTTGTGGATAAATTAAGAATATTTTAAATTTCAGCCCTTTTTTAATAAAATGGCAGATAAGAAACATACTCATGATTTTACTACTTGCAACGTTGAAGAACGTAAACACGTTGCATTGACGGTAATGCAAATTTTGCAAAAGATGGAGGCAGGTGCTACTCGTCGGTTTATAGCAGGATCGTATGGAATTGCAACACGATTGTGTATGATATACGAGAAAATAAAGAAAAGCTGTTGAAATTTTACAGAACAGTGATTCTGACGTCGGAATCCGAAACCGGAAATCTTTGCATGAGGCAAAATCAACAAACCTTGATGCTGTGTACATATAATATAATCAATTTATATATGTAATAATAATTTAATGCATGTGATAAATTTTTACAATAATGTATATAATAATTTAATTAAATGTATCTAATACGGCTTATTTATTTTGCACTTTTAATCTGGATATTATGCTTTATCTTTTCTGTCCTGAAATCCGCAAAATCCTAAAATCTGCACAACCTCTGGTCCCAAGCTTTGCGGATTTCTGGACTTTTACTGTAATACTTGAAGAATCTATGTTAGGGTTACCATTTCTGTTTCAAGCTACATTTTATATCATCATTTATCTTTGACATTGTCTGCTGCCACAATAATAGAAAAGGGCTGGAATATTTAGGCAATATGTACTCTCTTCCAGCTGACCTCAGAGAGCAGCCCGTAATGACTCCTGAAACCTTTTAGAAACTCGCTCAGAGGCCCCGATTTCATCCCACCACCTCCAACAACAGCAGATGCCGTAGTCAACAGAGAATGGGAGACTGTGACTTAACACTCAGTTAAATATTTTTTTTATCATGTCTGAATAGCTCCAAATAAACTCAAGATATAGTGAAAAAATGAATTTAAAACAATAAAACAGTGTAACTGATCAAGAAATAATGGTTGTGTAATTTTAAGGAGTCAAATTGAAACATCTTAAGGTTTTAAATCTCCACTACTGCTAGTGTGTGTTTCAGAAATATAAAAAGTAGTTTTTGTATGCTTTTTACTCTTAGTTTTAGGTAAGATTTATATAAAAAAGAATAATTCTTTTAAATAAAACTCTTATTTTCCGTTTATATGGAATTTCATATTTGTATTTTTGTAGGAAAATCTTACCCTTTAATCTATGAATTAGGATATGAAAGGAAAATAATTTTCCCAATATTTTAATTCTTATCTTATTAGGTAGACCAATGAAAATCCAGATTACTAGTTCTCTCACACCAAGGATAAATAACAGTTTTGCATCAAACCTTAACAGAAGAGGAAATGCCAGATTCTCTGGGAGGTAAGTTGGTAATGTGTACTTAATAGAAGAAACATCTATAGCTCAATCATTAATCTAAGCAAGGAACTTTCATGGCAATACCAAGCTTCTGTTATGAGTCATGCCGATTATTATTTTATTTCAGTTTAATTTATGCAACTTGACATAAAATGTGCATATACCTCTGAGCGACTTTGGGACAAAAATGGGCATAAAAGAAAGAATCAGTTTAAAGCTGTAGCACAGTTTAAGTAAGAAGAATTTGTTTCGTAATTGAGTTAATATTAGATTATGTTTAATAATAATATATCGTACTTGCAGATTTATTTTTTTTTTACAAATCGCAAAAGTGATGTTCGAGTGTAGATAATTGCTTTAGTTTATTGAGTTCGTATTTTCTTGATGGGTTTTAAATTTTTTCATTGTCCTTAAAAGTACATAATTTGCAGAAATGTTCAGGAAGTGTGTAAAAATAGTGGGAAAATGTGTTTCATTTAACATGCCATACCAGGAAGTTGTGTCCACATTTTTTTTTTTTTTTACTGTTTTTTTTTTTTTTTTAACTGTGATTATTGTCATAAGCAACTTTTTCCTTAAATATTTTAGATTTCTGTAAGGATATGTCCTAAGAACAAATCAGAAAATATCCAAAGCCTTAAGTACAAGTTGGCATATAAAACCCAATTTGCCAAAGCTTTCGAAATTTCTTCAAATATTAAAATATTCTTCAAATATAAAACTACACTTCTGGACAGTCATCAAGGAACAATTGATTTATGCAAATTTTTGTTTGCATTATTTATACAATTTCAGATAAAAATAGTGTAGAGGCATTGTAGGATAAAACCTTTTATCTGTATAGAAAGCAGTGTGCAATTGCATTGTTTCTTTATTGGCATTTGAAAGGAGTAATGTTGTAGGTTTCTGAAACTTTTGCTGTGAATTTTCATTTTTATAAGCAAATAATGAATTTATAATGTCAGTAAAACATTATTTGAATGCATACAATTGTGGCCAAGCAGTTGGTCATCTAGAAATGGGGGAAAATGTCACTTCCCCAAGCATTATGCACATTGAAAAGTATTATCTCTCATTTAAAAAAGGCTATTGAAGATGATGTAAATGTCCTTGCATGCTAGAGATTGTCAGAGAGCCACCTCATCTCAAGAGAACAAACATATTGTTGTAGTGACAAAAAGGAACACAAATGCTATTTTTGGCCAAATAGCCACAAACCTTGCCTACACTACCAGTAGATGTGTATCTGGGGGAACCATTTCTTGGTTTTTAAATAATGTTGGCTAATTTATGATGATAGTTGCAAGCACACTATCATCAGAAAAGATTACATTTCTGTGAGAAGCATACTATTTGCTGAAGCCACCGACAGTGAACCAGAATCATGTTTTTTTAACAAATCCCACTTAACCACCAGGATTAGTTCTGGACACCAGCCAGTGTGGAAAGAGGAAAACTCTTTATTGTCACCATAATGTCCAGTAAATTGATCATTATGGCTGAGGAGTAATTGTTTGGATAGATATATGCAGTGGCAAAACTCCTCTTCACATCATTAAATGAGTTAGTAATATAACAAAAAGTATTAGAACATATTTCTGATTAAGATGTAGCTTCTCGCTGTTTTCCCTTTTTAGAAATTCCTGTCCTTAAGATCCATAGGGTATATTAAACATTTGATATGGAAGAATATTGTTCATGAAAATGTGATGTGGAGCTTTGTTAAATGAGGTCTAAATGTATTTTTTAATTATGAGAGAGACATTTTTATTTCCAATGTTTATATTTTACTTTTTGGATTTGGTGCCCTTTAGCATTCTTGTGGATGCTGATATTCCCATAGATGAACCATTGCTAATTTCTTATAGTTTTTCTCTCACGTACCACAGTTGGGAAAAACATAACCTTGATGAAAATGACCTTTTACAAATTTCTTTGTATAATTTTAAATTGATCTGCCGGTGAAGTGGTCAGAAATCAAAGTAATGCTACTTTTGAGTGGCAGTTACAAAAATCAGAAATAGCTATTATTTTATTAACTGTTGAAATCTGTGAATGTAACAGCCTTTTTCAATGTTAAGCATTTTATTGCTATTATTACAATCACAAATTACTTCTAATCATGACTTTTGCATTTTACATCATTCAATCAATACTGTACTTGCAGGAAGCAGTGTAGTGCTGAAAATGTAAATTTTCTAATCAAGCATGACAAAATCTTGTATATAATGCAACATTTAGTGTTAAAGTTTGTCAAAGGAATTTTATAGGAATTCATAAACATCCTACAGCTGCAGTATTATATATATTCATAACATTTTCCATATCTCTTCCAGAGGACGGGGTGCAACGAGAGGTCGAGGTCGTAGAGGAGGTTTTCAGAGGACTTGAAAGAAATTTTGTGAGTAATTACAATTTAAAATGTGATTAACATGTCTGATTAAAAATATAAAAATCTGAAAGCTTTCAGATTTTATATTACGCCCACTTGGATCTTTTTTTAATGTTTTGTGTGTTAGCTTTGGTTATTAAATATCATGTTCTTTGCACTTAAACCTAGATTTTAAATGCTGTAAAGCATAATTTATGAAACAGTGCTTAGCAAAAGCAAAATAGCTATGTAGTTAATTAAAAATATCTTCTTTACAATTTTTTCATGGTAAGAGTTTGTTGTCTACCTCTACGTGTCGTCGCTGTTTGCTGTAGCATGAACTGTGTGCAAGGGTTTCTCTACACGATTCTCCTGTTGCCGAATCACAAATGCCTACAGCTTGCATGGCAACACAGCCTGTAGCGTGCCCTGTGCATCAGACATTCTACAGAGGAACCTCTCCACCCACAGTATGTTATACGGGTCTGTGACACTTGGCCAACACCAGTTAGCTGACACAGAGAGTTAGCCGTCAGGACATTTAGTGAACAGGACACTAAGCCAACAGTGATGTTTAGCTGACACGTACTCAATAATTATTTAAATTTACTATCAGTTACAAAATTTCTGAACTTCTCCAAAAGTTCAATATTTAAGTCATTTTTTTTTTTTTTTCACCTATCATGTTATCTTCGAAGTTCGAAGGTCACATTATCAAGAGTTCATAAAATGAATATCGTTTAAAATTTCTTTAACCTATAAAGGAAAAGAAAATATTTTTTGGCGCAAGTGAATTAATTCATGGATTAGTTATTTTGAGGGAGGAAAAAAAAACTACGAAAATCCGTTTTTAAAATTATTGCGAAAAATCCAAGAAAAAACGTTCTTTGATAAAACGTTTCTTCTTGGATTTTTCTCAATAATCTAGAAACGGATTTTCAAAGTTTTCTTTTTTGTCAAAGAGCGTTTCTTCTTAACACGTGTTTCTCAATTTCCTATACACATTGCGAAGAGGGAAATTCTGGCCGCCAAATCCATTGGCAAATTTTCCCTCCGCTTTCTAGCGGCGTAATAGCATTTGCGTGTATGGAACCTTTTCTTCTGTACATTGACATTCTTTGGTTAAAATAATCCCCATGTATGGTACAGCGGGATTTGGCGACATGGTGATGAGCAGTGAACGGGTCATTTTGTTTTTGGCAACAATTTTCAAAATCATGCGAAGGCCGTACCGTATACTAGGATTTTACCGCAAAATCTTTTTTTGTTTCTTTTTTTTTTAATAAATACCTTGTCATTTTGCAGTAAAATAAAAAAAATAGTAATCAGTCATCTAGGCTAACTATACTCGCTAAAATATCGTTGATTATTCTAATTCAATTTTTAAGTAATTATCTTTATTTTTATGTTATTCATATCATTTAATGTTGCTTCTTCCCTCTAAATTTATTTATCATTAGTAAATAATATTTCCAAATTTCAGGAAATTTTCTCTGGCATAATCCTGAAATTAATTCTAGCAGTAGGATGACATCACGAAATTTAATGCACATATTTTTTCCTTATGTATGCTGCGAAATAAATACGAGGGCTATCCAGAAAGTAGATTACGTTTTGGAATAAAAAAATAAACAAAGTATAGGAAACAAATTTTATTATATACAGATGAAAGCCACACTCAAATACTACTTTTCTACATAGTCACCATACAAATTAAGGCATTTATCGTAGCGATGTACGAGCTTGGAAATTCCTTCGTCGAAAAATTCGGCCGCCTGCGCCTTCAACCACTTCGTTACCTCTTCTTGCAGCTGTGCGTCGTCATCAAAACGCTGCATAGCCAGCCACTTCTTCATTGCTGGGAATAGGTGGAAGTCGCTCGGTGCCAGGTCGGGACTGTACGGCGGATGAGGAAACAACTCATGTCTCCCACTTAAAAGATTCAAGAACTTTACGAGTGACATTTGCCGTGTGGGGCCGGGCGTTGTCGTGAATCAACAAGATCTTAGAGCTCAACATTCCTCTGCGCTTGTTTTGAATTGCTCTTCTGAGTTTTTGGAGAGTTTGGCAATACCTTTGAGAGTTTATTGTAGTGCCTCTTTCCAGGAAGTCCACCAAAATTACACCTTTTCTGTCCCAAAAAACAGTCGCCATCATCTTCCTTGCCGACATTGTTTGCATGCATTTCTTGGGTTTTTGGGGAGAACTTGTGTGCCCCCACTGCATTGATTGCAATTTCGTTTCACAGTTCACATGTTTCACCCATGTTTCGTCACCAGTAACGATGCGATCGAGTAAAGAGTCACCATCCTTATGGTAAGCGTCCAAAAAGTTCAACGCTGCAGCCATTCGCTGATTTTTGTGGTCCTCTGTCAAGATTTTTGGAATCCATCTTGCACAAAACTTGTGGTAACCAAGCTTTTCGCTGATGATTTCGTGCAACAAACTTCGCGAAATTTGTGGAAAACTCAAAGAAAGTTCCGTTATTGTGAAATTTCGATTTTCACGGACTTTAGCATCGACTTTTTCGAGAAGTTCGGCGGTCACTATGCTGGGTCTCCCACTTCGATCTTCGTCGTGAACATTGGTTCGGCCATTTTGAAATCTTATGACCCACTGACGCACTCCACCTTCAGTGATAATGTTGTCCCCATACACTTCACGAAGCTGCCGATAGATTTCTATCGGTTTACAGTTTTTTGCAGTCAGAAACCTTATTACTGAGCGCACCTCGCAGCTCGCGGGATTTTCAATTAACGCAGACATTTCAAACCGTCACAGTATCTGAACGGAGCACAGCACGAACCCTCTCACCTCTCACTAGCACGGCTAGATGCAGACTGAGCTGCGCAACGCTCTGACCCCAAGATGGCCGCGCTAGCCCCGCCCCTAGCGGACACAGACGGAAACGTAATCTACTTCCTGGATGGCCCTCGTATAAAATACCTCAATTTAGTAAAAACATATCATTAAATAGATTTCTTTCTTTCATTTAGCTGCAGAATGTCTGCAAAAAAGCCTTATTTTATTCCATATTGGGCAGATTCTAATCTCAATCTTCAGTGGAGAAAACAACTCCTATTATAATTATATTTGTGTTTTTAAGTGTTAAGGTGCCTTTTAAAAAGACACCTCACACAAATTAAATTTACCTAAAATCTAACCTAACTTTTAGCGTTGCGTTGTGATTTATAAGAACCGGATTAGCCTCATGTTGAACTGGTGATGATCATGAGTAATAATTAAATAAAACATACAATTGTTATCCAATGTATATATCTTAAATTTTATTAAGTGGAAAAGTAAACAAAATTATCAAACAAAGTGTACCAAGAATAATTAAGAATAAATGTCCTCTGGGATTTGTTGAATAATCAAGTGAATTTGCTACACAGTACAGGTAATACCATAATTAATTTACTCTTAGCACAGCCAATGAACATTACGCGAATAGACTGGAATTTTCTCGAAACATACCTGGAAAACCTGGAAAAGTCAGGGAATTTCATTCTCCTGTTTGAGTGGCAACCCTGCTAATGTATAAACAACATTCTGAGAGTGTAAATAGCAGTTCAGAAGAAGAAAAAAAAAAAAGTAGTTCCATTGTGGCAAGGAGTAGGGCGAATCACTCTACTTCCTCACAGGGAAAGGAAATTTCATTAGTGGGAGGAGCGAAACGACTTTATACGGGAATGAATGTAGCATGATGTGTTGAGCAAAGTAATCATGAAATGTGAAAGTATTAGAAATCTGAAAGCATTGGGAAGAGCGAGACTCATTGTCGGCTAACTGGTATCTGTTAAGTGTCTCATCACCTAAGTGTCTGCGACCGGTGTTATCCAGCATCATACTGCTCAAACATGTGACATCATGGTGTTGTGGGGAGCTATTGGGTATAAATGTATATTCCATTTAGTGCAGATTGCCGACAAACTCAACAGTGGAGAACCTACATAAGAGAAGCTAGAGGTTCTTTCCATCCTTCGATGCTGTATTTCAGCAGGACCCATGCACTTGTTTCTCAGATGCGTAAGCCTTCTTTAGGGCTTAACAAGTTTCTCTTCTTCCATGGCCTGCTTATTCCCTGGATATGTCTCTCATTGAGGTATTTTGGATTTGGAGGATTTTCTCATTGTTATCTCAGAATATGCATCAGTTTTTTGTATTAGTTTTACATGTTTTCCTCCAATTCCCCTCCCCCTCGAAATATTCCTGGCATTTTGCAATTATATAGCATTGTTAGCGGTGATTTTTCTTCAAGATTTTAGACATTGCAGCTTTGGAAGGTTAGAAGTATTGAAGGCAAGATTTATAGATCCACAATCCAAGAAGAATTGAGAAAAATGTGACAAAATGAAAAATGTTTTTCGTGGTACTAACATGTTGTATTTTGCAGAAAGTTTGTGATGAATTTCTTACTTAAGTTTTGAAGTTGAAGATGTTGCAGAACATTCAGGGTTCTGAACAGCAATTTTTTTCACATTATCTCACAGAAACATGGTGGACTATTTTTTAGCCATGCTGCATGACGCTTGCTTGTAGTGTGTAAAAACAACACTTTTAAGTCCATCTCCTGTTTTTGTTTTGTAAAATTGGAAGTAATTTAAATTTAATGCAGTAAAAAATTTATTTTATTAAAATAAGTAATGTTATTTTCATTTACTGTATTGTTAATTTATATTTATTTTCATTTTTAAAAATACTGTTTGTACATTATACATTTAAGAAATAAACAACTTGCTTAAAAGTAATAAAATACTATAATCAATGTTGCATCGATATTACTTTTTATGTATAATAAATACCTTTAAAGTAATTGAAAGGATGCTTATTCAAAATTGTAGATTTTTTAAAAAATAGACTTTATAATTTAATTAATAAATGCATTTTTATAAGATTGCTTAATTCCTCTGAGCAGCGAAATAGTTATTTTTTGTACTAACACAGCTCTGTCAAATTTAAGTTTATAGAACTTTTTTTCCTAAATTTCAATTATAGTTTTCCTGAAAATGATGTATTTTCCCCTCCACAAATAGTTTTATTACAATTTGTGTTAACCCTTTCTTGATTGTGATATACATTTAAATAATTTATTGAATTTTGTAAAGAAAGAACATTTAAATAAAAGGACTTCCATAGAAATGTATCTGTATTCAGAAAACATTAATATGAAATTGATTTTGTGAGAAAAATTCTAAATTAGCAATCTTGCACTGCATTTTTTTATATGCTTTACCAAGTATTGGAATTTTATACCTTTAAAAAAAAAATTCTGATTACCTTTTAAAATACATTCAAGTGTTATTTATCTTAAGTATTAATTCAGAATTTAAAAAATCAATTCTCTCTTCCCCCCCCCAGAGATGAATTCATCTTATAGAAGTTAGTAAATAAATAAAATAAAGAAATAATCATTCAGTTTATTTTTAACTAACATTTCCCTCTACCACCAATATCTTTTGTATTTCAAAAGAGAAAATTACAGATACTGGGAAGTAAATCTTAACTGATTAAAATGCACATAAGACGACGAAAAGTACTATTATTTCAAAAAAAATGTGTTTCGTTATTTTATATCTGAAATTAATTTAGTTACAGTAAAAGCTCAACTATCCAGACTGGAAATGCCAAATTCCAGATAATTTTAGAATTACTTAGTTAGATAATAAACATACAAATTATGGATATAATGTATAAAAATACTTAAATCATTTATCATAAATTCTAACTTTGCATCACCATTGTTCGTTCATTTCAAAGAACCATTTCCTAAACTCCACTGCATGCTTTTATCAAAAAGGCAGGTTCCAAATATTAACAATGTTTTCAAAATGCAAGAGGAAAAGAACTTCATTATTCTTTAAAAAAAAATTGAATCTGGTGTTGTGACATCATGCTTATCCATTTTTAACACTAAATTACACTGTTTGGTGACAACATAATGTATTCTGGTAATATAATGATCTGTGTTACTAATCTCTGATTTACTTGATTTTTCAGGAAAAAAAATTACCTAAAATATTCTGGTTAGTTGAATGCTGGATAGTTAAGCTTTAATTGTATTTTCAAATACTATTTATTTCACTTTCACTGTGTATTTTGTTATTTAAATCCTACTCACGACTACTATATATCTAAAGAAATGTCATATTTTCTCACTTCTCTTTTTAATTATTAGTTTCTTGAATTATATATACATATATATATATATATTTTTTTCTTGTAAAGGGAAGCTTTACTGATGACTACGTGGCCCAAGTGATTTCAAGATTTTGCCATATGGATACATCAGTGGACATTTCCATAGTGAAAAGTTGTTTCTCATATTTTTAAAATTCTGAAAGTGACATTGCTTTGAATAACAGACTCCGAAAGCTGAAAATATGTTTTGAAAAATGCAGACATTTTAACGCAGTATTGGTGGATATAAGTCGTCTATTTTAATAAAACTGTGCAACGATTCAAATTGCATTTATTTTATTAATGCCAAGTGAATCAAAACTGGTATAATTTTTTACATTATACGTTGATATCTGTAGAAAATAACACTAAATCTTATTGTGGTTTTAAACAGAAATGTTAAAAGTATATAATTACATTATGTAATAGATATCTGCATTAAAGTTTGGATTGTTTTTATTGCTCTAAAATAAATGTGAAAAAATATTTTTTGAGCAAGTAATAAATATATTATATAGACAGAAATGCCAAATTTCCTGCATTTCAACAGCACTCGTACCAGCTGAATTTACAGCCTGTTCCCGACTTTTGTTAGTTTGGCAAAATATTTTATTTTGCCTAAAAAATGTGTTTTCGGGTTTCTGAAATTGTTTTGATTCTTCGCTTCTAAACCCATTTTGTCAACTACTGCACATGTGAGAATGATTCAATCTCCAGTAAGTATGAAGTGCATATCAGCTAATCAATGCAAAGATGGATCAAAATGCCATGATCTTTTGTCATAGATATGTCTGTAAAAAAGTAAAATACTCATGTATTTTACAAAAAATACATATGTTGACCTATACATCAAAAAATATGCAATGCATAAACAACTCCTTCCTGTGGATAAAAGCAATAATACCAATGCAAAATTGTATCCAGTTGTTACTTTTCTAATTCTGTGGCTTCAGAGAATGAATATAATTTATTTGGTGTCCATTTGGAAGGTGATTCTACAGCATTTACTGATAATTATGAAAAATTTCAAGGTAAATGGATTTCTTTTTTAGCTCTTGTTGCAAGCAATGTACCAGTAATGAATAAGCCTGAAAATTAGTGTGTAAGCATCTTGAGTAAGGTATGCAGATATTAAAGTGTCCGTATCACTTTATAAATTTAGCAGCTAACTTTTATTAACTCACCTTTTTTACCAGTAAGTATGAATGAATTTGTTCATTACCATCTTGAAAAGTTTTAAAAAGTGAAAGAAAAATTGAAACAATTCCAAAAGCTACATAATTGTTTAGTTTTGGTTTTAAAAAAAACTTTTTGTCTAAATTTTGATATTTACCTATATTTTTAATACATCTTGTTCAATTCATAAACACATTACAAAAATTGAAATTTAAATAATGTATTTCCATTTTTCAAGTTTAAGAAAGGAGGGGGAAATGACTGTCTAGCAATGATGAAAATGGGGCATTGAGAACCACTGATCCGGAATCCTTACGTTTTGTAAAAAAAGGAAGTAAATGCTTTTAGAATTAAGATAAAAGTCTATATTGAAAAATATAAAAATATCTTAAGTAAACGAAGATGAAACTACTACTTGCACTAATTAACTCATTTACAGTATTAAAAATTTTGGGTATCATGTTTCAATGAAAATATCTATTTTGACAGCTATTGAATGCAATTTAACGACGTTTTTGCATGACATCTGTACGTTAAGACTCTTTTTTCCCTAAACAGATGTATTTAAAATGGATTCAGAAGGCATTTTTTTCGTGACGTCTCTCTCGCATAACTATAAAACTATATGTATATATCCAGCCAAATAACAGAGTGGGTATATAGGTGAGCTCAGTTTCCCCCCACTCCCTTTACTGTATACATTTGTAAATTGTGCATTTTTTGTTTTAAAAGTGATTGAATTATGTTTTCCGTATGTTCCGCTTAAGGTTTTGATAATCTGCATGCAATAGTTGTAGAAAATTCCGACTTTAAAGCACCACAAAGGGCATATTTTTTAAAATATGATAAGTTCAAAATTTTATAACATACATTTTCAGACACTGAAATTTAAAATCAGACGTCAAATAGTCAAAAAAATTAAGTGATTTTTAATAATTGTTTTAGTATAAATTTTGGAAATATCGCTGAAAATATGTACAAAATTGAAATTTGATATCAGAAAAAGTGTTAACTGGTGACTAACTTCAAACCATAGTGATATGAATGAACTAAAGAGCTTATAATAAAGAAAAATCAGCATTTTTTACTATAAATTAACATTAATAAATTATTAAACATAGTTTTTAGAGTAAAATGTATGCTAAAAGATTTTTAAAATAGTAGATCTCACAAGCTTTGCATTTAAAACATTAAATATAAGAGGAAATGTTTTCCTTAATTATTTATTATACATTTTAGCACTTGCACACTATCAGTCAATTATAGAATGATATACGAAAGCAAAGTGAATATATATTGCACTTTACATATACATAGAAAATTTCAATACTGCATCACTTTTCATAAATACCAAGTTAAATTCAGTACTATTACAAAATGACTACATGGTAACACTAATACTCTACCACATAAATAAGAATAATGTATAAAACTTTAATAAAGGAATTAGACATTCCCAAATGTGCATTACACATATACATGTATATGAGAAACAAGGCCTCCAGGTTTCATTCCTATCATCATACGAATGAGTTATTTTAAAAAAGCATATTTCAAGCTAATTCTTAGAACATTCATCTTCTCAATCCAGAAACTAATTATAAAACATTTTCATCAAATGTAATATTCTGGACTGAAATGGCTAAGGATAAGAACTATTAAGATAGCAGAATACTCATGTGTACGAGAGAATTGATGAATATCCACTGTATCATGATGCTTGGAATGGACTGTGTAATAATCATCAAACTATGCCAGTTTTAGTCGAAAGTGTGGAATAATTAGTAATGGAATCTAGTGATCTTATAAATATCTTGAAAGAAATCATTTAAATCAACAGATTTTAAATACTTTTATCTCACAAAGTCACAGATGTTAACACCATGTCACCTTATCCAAGAATCAATATCAAGTCAAACAATGTAAAAGCCAATATTGACAATCCCAGGTGTTGTGTATAAAAGATGCCAACTAGGAAGCAGCACTAGTTTAAGAGATAAGAGGATCAAGCTAAAGAAAGAATGGAACCTTTCAGCTTTATTCTTCCTCTTTCTTACAGCAAAACTGGAGATCGCATGAGAAGCAATTTAGTAGCATTAAACCGTGATGCTTTAAAATGTTTACAAATATTTCAGTTCTCATCTTTCATTACTGGCACATTTACTTAAATTGAATACTTCTAAATACTATGATAGACAACTTACACTGGTTGTATTACAATATTTAAATAAAGATTTCATACTGTAGTTAAATTAACATTTTTATGAAATTCCAGTCAAAGAAGAAAAGATAAATATTTTATTTATTTTTGAAAAGGAGCTAGCTGAATTAGCAGTTCCTGGACATCAAACCATATAAGACACAGGGTAATACTGGAGACATGAATTAACTTGGTGTGGGTCAGAAATAATTTAGTACTAAAATGTGGTAATTTAAAATGCTTACAAATACATTGTAAATTTTATTAAATTCTCACCTTATGACTGGTACCTTTATTTAAACTGAACACTTCTAAAGACTATACTGGAGACATGAATTAACTTGGTGTGGGTCAGAAATAATTTAGTACTAAAATGTGGTAATTTAAAATGCTTACTTTGTAAATTTTATTAAATTCTCACCTTATGACTGGTACCTTTATTTAAACTGAACACTTCTAAAGACTATAATAATATAATCACAGATAAACCTACACTAGTGATATCACAGTATTTAAATTGAACTTTCATAAAATTCTAGCCAAAGAAAAGATTTAACATTTTATTTATTTTTAGAAGGAAGTTGTGTTGCCAGTTATTGGCACAAGAACATTTATGGGAGAAATGCTTTTCAGTTCCATTAGCAATTTTTTTATCTAACGAGCTTTATGTGTTAATGTTCTGAATAGAGACAACTATGTTTGGTTTTAAGCAAAGAAAATATTTAAATACCTATTTATATTACATAATATTAAAATTAATGTTCAATTTTAACTTTCAGTCTGAGATAAGTGGAAAATTTGACACTTAAATGACTTATACATGTATATGAGGAGAATCTCTAATTACAAACAAATAATAAGTGTCAATTTCATTGAAAACAAATGTATTCCTTTAGATACAGTGTTACAGTTTGAATTAATTGCACAAAAAATTTAATCAGCAATAATTATACAATTCAGTATTTCACTAGAGTCACTCTTTATTAATTACCTTAATAAAATAGCAGCATTAATTTTGCTATCTTCTATGCAGATTTCTCTCTTTTTTAAGTATTAAATGCATACATATAAATGGTTTATTTATATTAGAGATGTTTTATTTAAGGAAGCTGTCTGCATATAATATCTTCCAGTAAATCTGAAAAAATGAAACAATTCTATAACAGTGATTATGTGCCATCAACTACATTTACTAGAATTATGTTTATGTTAAAATGTATGTATGCACATTAATGAAAGCTTTTATTTAACAAATGTGATGCACTTTATAATTACAACATTTACATAAGTTTTAAAGTGAGACCTTAATCAAAAGAATGCCAAAGAAATTATGGAGTTTATTAAATTGAGGAAGGTCTAAATTCAGTTTTAGCACAAATGTATTAAAAATGTTTGTTTATACTACTGAATTCTTAAATGCACAACAAAATTACTGCTTCCTAGACTTCTTTTGGGAAAAGGGAGGACTTTAATGTGGGATAGTTTAGACATTGAAAACAACCATTAAATTGAATGCATGAAGTTTTGACTGTATTTTATAACTCAAACTTGGTATATTTTTCATGGATGAATGAGCTAATGAAAATAATATATATTTCAATTTAACAGTTTTCTTTTTTAAAGATTTTTTTGGGGGGTGGGGTAAATCAAGTACTGTATTATCCCTATGATTTTAATATAATTAATATGCGATAATTAAACTACTGAAATTTTATATTGTAAATATTATGAAAGGTTGATAATTCTGTATCCTCATATAAAGCATGCACAGAATAAACATTACTTACTGTTGTTTGGATGTTTATGAGAATCCTATCACCGAACAAGGTTAAACACTTAAAATGAACATTACTCTCAGACTAAATATTACATTCAGCTACTACTTATACAAAAATTCCCCATTTTTGAAATTTTTAAATGCTTGTTGACCAATAGAAATGTGTTTTGTTTAAGTCAGCTCATAAAGTAAGCAAAATTATAGATCTATAAAATTGTTGTGCTACATGAATTTTCTCCCTACGCATTATATGTTCAATGAATTGTGTGCCCAGAATACTGAAACTCTAAATTTATAATCTCTGCATACTGTATAAGCTTAACGCTTTGCACTCGAGCAACGCTGCTACGATGCTATGGTCTTTAGTAACTTGATCTCCTTATTTACGATGTGCAATAAGATATTTTTCTCGGAAGTACTTTCGTGGACTAAGCTCTGCTGACATTGTAGCCAAATCTTCGCACGGTTTAGTTAGTTTCAGCGTAGCATTAGCTTGAAACAGTCTTGGTGGTAAATACAGTAAGTAAATAGTGTTTGAGCCCTAAAAATATGGAGGAAAATCAGATCAGCTCGAGTTCGGACAAATTCAATTTTGCCATTTTGGGTGATGAACTTTACCGATTTCCGGCGGATTACACCGCGAAACGAATGAATCCAGTGGAGATGACAGTGAAGCATAGGAATGTAAGAGATGTGAGACGACGGAAAATTAGAATTATAGAGAGCGACAGTGAAGTTGGGAGTGATGTTGAAAGAGAACTTGAAAGTGAAACTGTGGAAGGTGCAAGCAGTTCAACATGGGTACTTTGGGGAGACTAGGACGAAGTGCCGCCAAACGCACAATTTACACCTGGCCAAAACCCCACAGCAACACAAATTGTTTCTAACATAAAACCACCAACAGATTTTTTAAAATTGTTTTTCACTAATGACCTTGTGAAAAATATTTGTGAAACCAATATATATGTCAAACAAAAATTAGGGAAGACATCTACAAATTTGGCGAAGCTGACATGATCTGACCAACAAAATACAACTACTCTCAAAGTACTTGCAAAGTGTTTCCCGAATTTGGCCGAAATCATCTCAAGTTACTGGTTCGTGCAAGCAAAAAAGGCCTTAAGTGCAAAGGATTAATTATACATGTAATATTTCTTAAGAAATGATCAGAATGAATTTTACATTGGTTTACCGTAGAAGTATACAGTCCTTTATTCTTCACAAAATTTATTTTGAAAATTTAAAAATGCCGTGACATGAATAATCTTCTTGTTCAACCACTTAGCAGTTCACAAAATTTAGGGAAAGGGAGGTCCCCTTTTTATTTTGGGATGAAGTAACCGTAAAAAAATTCATTTATTGGCCCAAAATTATGGATGCATATAATTAAAGGGTTTTACATATATAGAGAGAACCCTTTAATTTTTTCCCCATATTTCAACTTGGTATGATGGGGTGCAATGCAAAGTCCCACATTACAGTCCTAGCAATATTTTGTTTCTGCTACTATTGTCAAACATTTAAGAATGTAAACTACATAAAATGAAATTGGAAAGCTCAGTTATTAATTTTTCTTAAGAAGCTAATAAAAGTATAGCTTACCTAAAAGAAAATTCCATGAACTTTAATATAGAATACCCCCCCCCCGAAAAAAAAACCTGAAAATATTTGTTCTATTGATCAGCGATGCCATCTATGAATTAAAAAGTGAACTAGAACAAATTATACGTGATAATGAGAAGCATAGGCTTTGAAAGTGTGATGCCTGCGTCAGATATGGGCAAATCACACTGCATACAAAAAATGTTACCCTTACCGCATATGCTATTACAAAATTGCTAAGTGGTTAAAACATTTTTGTACTAAAAGTATATACCTTCGACTAACAGTTGCAAAAATAAAAGCCACATGAGGACTTTTCTTGACAAGCTGCACAGAGAACAGTAAACACTAAATTTGTTTTCAGAAAAAGTCACAGAATTTAAGACTGAACAAGTGCGCTTTAAGTGCTTACTTCCTCATAAACGTATGTGCCAAATGGCATTATTTACCAATCCTGCATATCTGATTTAATCTCTCTTGATGACTAAGCAATGATCATCTTAGTTTCCTTATTATCAGTGAAAGACCAACTGAATGAAATATATAAAATTGTACGGAATTAAAGAAAGAAAAATAAACAATTTACATATTCCCCCCCCCTTAGTATGCTTCGAGATATGAAATAGTTCCTGAATAATGGATTTATAGAGGAGGATATATGTAATATATATCTAATATGATCTCATCAAATCTCCTTTCTTTTTTTAAACAGAGTCACATAAAAATTATTTCTCATTAAAATCATATTCTTTAAATTAGCTAAAATCAAAAAAGGAGTCTAGGAAATTCCTGCTGAGGAATGTTTTCAGGGACTTAATAATATATCTCATACAAAAATTGTACACCCATCAAAACCATCATCTTTCAGTGAGCAGATCACAAAAACAATCTATAAAGTCACTGATCAGCAATGAACTCGGAATGTTTTTAACAAGTTGGACAACAGGTGCAACAAGATGAGTGTCTTACCAAATATCAGTAATACAAGCACTATTTTGAGTAAAACTATTTCTAAAGTATGTAGATGCAATTTATTTAATCATATGTGCATATGAAGTTATTAACATTTGAAACACTCAAAGACTTTATAAATGTTATTATATTAAAACTGAAGAAAATATAACTTATAAAAACTATCTGAAAATTTGGAGGAAAAAATGTTTTAAATAGAGCATGAAAATTTATCTAAAAGAATGTGAAGATATTTTATGCAAATGTTCAACACGATTAATTGCACTATAACTAATAATTTAAAACCCATATTTGTGCTTTCAAACACATTAACTCGTATTGTCATCAAAGGCACTATTGGAAATACTAAAATATGTAGCAGAAAATTATATCCGAAGTAGATAAAACTGAAATTTAATGATACTGTACAGAACATAGATAAGACACCTCCACAAATGAATACAAATAGTAAATTTTGTCTTTCTAAATGCAGAAGTGACTCATTCAGAATGACAAAAGAAAAAGTCTGATGATTCATTGTACTAGATATATTCTTATTTTAAATAGATGATGGCAGACATTTATCATAACCTTTTCAGTGTTCTTTTCTTTTCCTTTAAAAGTTTGAGATTTTTCTTCTCCACATTGAATTTGTTCTTGTCACCTGCATGTTTTTTTGCAGTGGGACCATCACCTTTCGATGCACTAGATCCGGTAGATGATTGTGGATCTTCCTCCAAACCTTCTTTGGGACTTTTGGGTGGTCGAGCATGGATTTCCGTCATCATGCGAGCTCTTTCACAATAATCGTCATATCGTTCAAGAAGCATCTTTCCAGCTTCTTCGTTCAAGGCAGATTCTGGATTTGGCACAATCAGTAGACATTTTATGGTCTAATAACAATTAAAAATAAATAAATAATAATAACCATCATATTTTTCTAACGACATTAAACAATTTACAAAAGCTCAAAATTTACATATACAAAATTATAGTTTGCAAATACCATCAAAACTACAATGATTTGAATTTTCAGCTAGCATATGACCAGCTGAAATGTAAAACAAGGAATTGAAATAAGCAGATTTTATAATATATTTTCAGAAATTGCACATGTACAGGTTATAAACAACAAGGAAATAATAAGTCAAGAGAAACATACAATAGGTGGTGTCGGAAGGCAAGACCACTTACAGTAATACAATATTCACTTTTGCATAGATCCCAGTTAATAAGCTGACTATTTGAAAATTATCTACACAGAATCTGAGCAGCTGCTGTTTACACCTGCAACTTCACAGATAAAATGCATATTGGTCTGGGCTACTTACACCTCAAAATCTGCATTAGGAATGATGATTTACACTAACAGACTGCTTTCACCTATTGCTCTCAGCAGTGCTCTCCAACAATTCAGTGCACCATTTCCACACACATTCCATTACAAAATCTGCTTATTTCAGTCCCTGTATCCTTACTTAAAAGCTTTCACACTTTTTTTGGGGGGAGGACAAATGTTTTAGAATTACTTTGTATATTCATGCAATTTATTTGTTACTTTTTGCAAAAGATTTCCAATAACATTTAAATTTCGTAGAATCAACCTGCAGTTTCATGTAATTTATTTCAATATTAATTTCTTACTTTTGGGGAAAAAAATTTTAATTTCCAAGTAAAATTTATGAATAAACAATCATAAAATATACTAAGAGCAATATTTTGATACTTAAAAAGAGATGGAAAGTAATTAAATTACTTAAAACTAGAAAAATAGGTATAGAGAATGATTCAGAACTCATCGGATGGAGCTTATTCAGGACAAACTTTAAGGGATGGGGGAGCAAACTATCACAAATGTTTTTCCTACAGGGAAACATATGGGCACAAACTTATATGAAAGATTGACTGCTTTCTTACAGACTTTGCTGACAAGTGCTTCTTTACAGCAATATTAAAAATAATTCCTCAAAATTGTATCCATCAACAGTAATACAGGTTTGATGACATTGATGAAATGACTGGTATGCAGTTTTAAAGATGCCAAGTATTTCTCACCTATATGCAGCTGCAATGATATTCAAGTGACAAGGCCCTGATGATGTAAACTTCATAAACAAGGGCATTTTCAGATGACCCTATAAAGAAGCAAAAACATTTGGGGTGGTTGGTGATAGGAATGGCTAATTAGCTGGTTCATGCCCAACAAGGATTAGCTCTACTGTTAAGAAAGTTAGAGGGCACTGCACCGCCCATATGTATAGTTAATTAAAAGTTTTAGTGGAGAGTATGGATGGGTGTGGTGATGTAGAGGAGTTGTATTAAATCAGCTATCATGTAAATCCAAGAAATCTGTAAATATTATTTGTATATAGATAGAATTTGCATCTAAAAGTAGAATTAGAATTAAGGAAGTGTATTTATTTCACCACAGCATGACATGAAGAACCATCGATGTAGATGTCAACTTAAGTATATTTATGCCATACATTTTTGGTGCCATCTAGCTGCAAAGTGAGTGATATAATTTCTATTAGGGTGCTATTTATCTTTGTAAATTAAAATGAGTTTTGAAGAAACTGTTGAACGAAATAGAAAAATTAGTGGTTTGGTTCGAATCAGCGTCACAAAATTAATTAAGAAACTTTAAGACGAATTACAAAATGAAAAATTCAAATATAGAGCTGTTGCAGGAATCACTTTCAGTGTTAATTTAGAGAAAATAGTCCATTAAAATATGATGAAGTTATTAATGCTCAAAGCACTGTGCAAGAATTAGAAATTGAGCATTTTTTAGAATACAGCGAATCCATCATTAGATATAAATTGATGAAGATACATTCCAAATGTTGGTAAAATCGAAACAACTCAACAAGTTTCTGAAATTAAAACTAATTATAATACTAAATTATCGCGTATTAGTTTAGAACCTTCAGTGGTGATTTATGTAAATTTACTGAATTTTGGGCTTAAAAGCTGCCATTCACAAAAACAATACACTTCAAGATGTTGAGAAATTTAACTATTTAAGATCTTTACTCACCAGTTCAGCTGCAAAAGCTAAAAGCGGATTGCCATTAATAGAAGAAAATTATAAAAAAGCCATCGAAATTTTAATGTACTGATTTGGAAAAAAAGAAATATTAGTTAGTGCACATATGAATGTCCTCGTTCAAGTGATGTATCAAGATTAAGAAAATTGTATGATGAAATAATGGTTCAAACTAGAAGTTTAGACACATTAGATATTAATTCTTACAGCAATCTATTACTTCCTATTTTATATAAGTGTATACACCAAGATTTAGTGTTACAATTTAGTAGAGAGCAAAATTTCGGCAAAGAATCAACAGTTTCAGATTTATTGTTATTTCTAAAGAAAGAAATAGAAGCTTGCAAAAAATCATTAACTCTGGGTCTCAATCAACAAACACTTTCGAAAATCAGTGAAAGAAATACTGACAATTATTGTAAAAATTTTACTCCAATTGAACAGAAAATGGCATCAGCGACGATGCTTAATACACGAGTTGAAAATTATGTGCGACTTTTGTCTTACATCTCACCTCTAAAAAGACTGCGACTTTCAGAGAAACACAAAGCATTATATGATCAATTCAAGTGCAAGCGCAATTTTAAAAAAAATTACAAAAAAACATTTCGAAGGCGAAATGGGTTAAATGTAATATTTGCAAATCTATGTTGCATGCAGAGAGCCTGTGTGACACAAATGTGCAACAAAATAAAACCAACAAAAATGCACAAAAAGCACAAGCACAGTAAAAGAAACAAGCTTCAGTTCACTATTCCTCGAAACACTGAGTAAATTCCTAATGATACGTACGAACCCTGTTGGAAGTGTTAAGCTTCGTGTGGAACTTGGAAGAGGATGATTTTGAGACTAGATGTTACATAATTGTTGAGTAGTTTAGAATCATTGAGAAATAGCAAAAGATTGGTGTTAAATATAGCAGCTAAGGTGTTTGATCCAGTCGGATTTATTTCTCCATTTGTAATGTGAATTAAGAGACTTATGCAGGAAATATGGGAAAGAGGTTTGGACTGGGATGTAGAGTTGCCAGAAGAGTTACAGTACAAATGGATAAAGTGGTGCACTGAAGTTAAGGAATTTAAACAGGTTGAAAATAGAGAGGTACTACTTTGCAAAAGTTCTAAGTAACGGTCATTCAGTTGAAGTTCATATTTATTTTTTTGATACGTCAGTGGTGGCATATTTTAGATATAAGAATGAGACAGCAGAGATATGTACGTCGTTTATGATGTCAAAGAGTAGGATAGTGCTGTTAAAAAAGTTGTTCCTCCCTAGGTTGGATTTGATGGGAGCTGTAGTGGCAGTTAGGTTATGGAAATATTTATTGAAAATGTTTCAGGATTTGATAGGTAAGTTAGTTCTGTGGATGGACTCAGAAATTTGCTTGTGGTGGATAAAGGGGTCAGCATGTGAGTGGAAGTAGTTCATGTCGAATAGAGTTGCAGAAATGCAAGACTGTACTTCGCCTGATAAGTGGAAATACTGTCCAGTGTCAGTATACGCAGCAGATAAGTTAACTCATGGTGAAACAGCATATGCATTGATGAAGGATAATAATTGGTAACATGGTTCATCATGCTTGAAAAATTCTGAAGATCAGTGGCCTGAGCAGAAGTTTAAAGTAGAAAGTGATACTCAAAATTTGGAATGTTTAAGGATTTATGTTCATGTGACTGTTCCAGTAAGACAAAACTGTATTAAATATTACCAAGTTCAGCTGTCTGGAAAAATTGTTGAGAGCTACAGCTTGAGTAAAGCAGTTTGTCGACAAGCTAAGAAAATGAACCTGTGAAAGAATGTCCTCTTGCAGTATTGGCCTCAGCTTCTTGGATGCAACAGATCTTGGATCTTCTTGGATAAAATAGTACAGAGAATTATTTTTCAGATATTCAACAACTAGAGAGGAATAATCTAATAACACTTGATCGGAAGCTTTACAGTTTAGCACCATATCTGGTCAGTAGACATATTTTGCATGTCAGAGGTCATTTGGAACAGGCAGAAATTAATAGACGACGAAAAACATACTATTATACTGCCATAGTTCACTGAACTAATGATATTTAGTGAACACATAAAATTATTCCATTCAGGAGTTATGGCAACAATGTCTGAAGTTGGGAATAAATTTTGGATACCTAAAGGAAGACAAGTAATAAAGAAAATTATTAACGGTGTGTAAAATGTTTGCAGTGAAGCCCGCCAAAGAGCTAACAGGTCAGTTACCAAGAGATCATGCAGTTCAAAGTAATCATTTCACAGTAGTCGATATTGAATTAACTAGAGCGTTTACTGTTAGAGAAAAGGCGGAGATCCACAAAAAGGTGTACATAGCCTTATTTACACACGCCACCACTCACTCGTGCTGTACACATTAAAGTGGTTTCAGATATCTCAGCAAAAAGTTTCATTCTTTCATGAAGATGTTTTTTAGCTAGAAGAGAGAGCTGCAAGGAGAGTTATTCAGATAATGCCAAGAATTTCCGCAGCACATGTGAAATAATTAAGAGATTTAAAAGAGTCAGCATAGAGCTTAGTGTACGAGATTTTCTGACATCCAAAGAAATTATATGAAAATTCATCCCTAAGCATTCCCCCATGTTGGGGAGGCTTCTGGGAGCATTTAATGAGAAGCATCAAAGAACCTTTGAAGAAAATCTTAAGAAGGACTGACTCTTGAAGAGCTTTCCACAATATTAACTGAACTCGAGTGTGTGTTACACAATAGGCCCTTACCATACAAGAGCAATGAGCTGGGTAAACCTCATCCGCTCACACCTTCACAGCTTTTACTACCAGGACATGACACATTTAACTTTCCTGAATATTTTTTGGAAATTTTCA